CGGGGGCCCAAGGGAGAAATGGCTTTCAGGTCTCTGTCCCAGGGGGAAAGCTGACATTTCCCCAGAGCTGCGGGTTGGGTGTAGCTTGTGAACACAGCTCGAAACAGCATTTCCCTCTGCGCTCTGGCTGCTGAATGGGGCGGGGCGGCAGGCATGCTCTACACCACGGGTGTCAAACTGGCGGCCCCGGAGGTAACTTTTTGTGGCCCACAATGCTCTTAAATAAAATGTAATAAGGGAATTGTGTATATGGTATTGCCTCGATCTCCCCTAAGCGCTATTTTCTTCATAACATTTTTTTCCTATTTTCATTTTATTTCAGAGCACCGGGGGCCACAAAAAATTACCTCGGGGGCCGCATGAGGCCCATGGGCCGCCAGTTTGACACCCCTGCTCTACACCAAGGTCTATTTCTGATCTTTATGTTCCTTTGGCTTTATCTTTTAATCCTCAAACTTGAATACAGTGGAATATACAAAGCCAAACAAGCAGAGATGAGGGGCAGGTATGGAGAGCGGAGAAGCCAGGGCCGGGCAAGAAGTGGAGGGGCCATCCAAAGGAAGGAGACGGGCCATGTGGCCGCATCCCCGGCGCCAGGAGCGCACTTCTGGAACACTGTTCTGCCAGAACCCTGAGAGAGCAGACTCAACACGTCGAGAGACGGCTCTGCGCTCATGTGAGAGATTTAAACGTGGCCAGACATTACCGCAGGGACGGAGTTCGTGTACTGATAGCAGTGGTCCTCGGTGTGCAGGAAACTGTCCAGCAGGATCTGGTAGTGGGTGGACTCGTTCCACAGGGTGAAGCCCACCTGCAGCTGTTGGTTCTCCAGTATCTCCAGCGTGATGTTGGGGTCCCATAGGCTGCCTGCTGGGGCAAGACACAGGGCGGGTGGGAGCATGTGTGTGTGTGTGTGTGTACCCCCGAGTCAAGCCGGGTCTGTGTGCAGGGGTCTGCACTCTCCAGGGGGGTGTGTGTGTGCGCGCGCGTACGCGCGTGTGCACCTCCTGAAGACAGTCGCCCCACTCCTTGCTGAGCCGGCCCGAAGCAGTTACCTAAGCTCAGACAGGGCGTGGTCCTCTTCATCTTGGGGTCCTCGCAGCCTGCCAAGCCAGAAAACAGACACGGTGAAGCCTCTGCCTAGGGAGCCAAGTCTTCCAGACTCTGAAAGCTGGCAGCTGGAACCCACCAGCAGCTCTGCAGGAGAGAGACGGGACAATTTGCTTCCATAAAGATCGACAGCCTGAGAGACCTTAGGGGGCTTTTCTATCCTGTCACGTGGAGGACTTGACAGAAAGGGGAGGGGGATTCTGAAGTTTTAAGCAGATTGTGTGTGTGTGTGTGTGTGTGTGTGTGTGTGTAGGCGGAGGCGCTTCGGCGATGAAGGTCCCCACCATCATCTTCAAAGGAGTACACAAAGGGTGTAAGTAAGCTCACACCCTATCCTCAGAGGGCGGGGACTCCAGATGGCAGCTGGCCTTGAACAGTGACCAATGTTGTAACGGGGGAGCACAGGGGTGCAGGGAGGGAGAGACGTGGATGGTGGACACACAGCAGACGATGCTTTAGAAGATCAGGCTGGCAGGGTCCCTGGGCAGCCTGGACGAGTGGGGGAAGGAGAAATGATGTGGACACAGGGGGTGGCATTAGAGAAATGCAGGTAGGCTCTCTGCAGGAGGCGGAGAAGAGCTGGAAGGAAGAGGTAGAACTCTTCCAAGCAGAGCTTGTCTTCCCGATATTTTCTGGGCGGGCAGCACACACAGAGGGAGGGTCCTGGGGCCCATGAAACTCCTGGGGTTTGGGGCCAGTATGGCGCACTTAGGCCAACAGGGAATGGTCTCTGCCTTCCATGAATAAAGGTGCTGGTCCCAAGAACGCCAACAACTGTGGCACCAACGCCGCATGTTGACCGTGGTGGCCCAGGTCCATCCAGCTGCGCAGGGAGGCTGCCGTCTACGCAGGCTGGCTGCTTCTCACAGACATGAGTGTGGGAGGGATGGCTGGGGAGGTGGCTCTCTTACCAGGCACGGAGAAGCTGGTAGAACGGTGGTTTGGGTCCCCATAGGGAGTGGGCTTGGGCAGGTGGTGAACAATCACCTCGTACTTCTGGCCAGGTTCCACCACAAAATGGTTGAAGGAAAAATTCAACTGCAGAGATGGGGAGAAGGGAAAGGCGGACAGGTCATGCACATGTCTCCCATCCACTGGTGCCCAGAGGACCCTCCCGATCC